GCTCACCCTGTGGTCCATGTGGGTCCTATTGCCCCAGTATAGTGACGGGGACACAGTACTGTAAACAGGTGCTGTCCTTCAGAAGAGACATAAATCCGAGGTCCTGATTCTCTGTGCTCATTAAAAATCCCAGGGCGTTTCTTGAAATGAGTAGGGATGTTACCCTGGCAACCTGGCCAAATTTCCCATTGGCCCTTACCAATCATGGCCTCCTAATAATCCCCATCTCTGAATTGGCTTCGTTACTCTGTTCTCCTCCCCACTGATAGCTGGTGTGTGGGGAGCATTCTGGAGCACAATGGCTGCTGTCACATCATCCAGGTGGGGCTGCACACTGGTGGTGGAGGGGATCCCCATTACCTGTAAAGTGTGTTGAATGGAGTGTCCAGAAAAGCCCTATATATGTGTAGGCAATTATTATAATAATTATAATTATTATTAATCTCACAAATTCACTTCCCTTATTTGCCTATCCTTGGTATTTAACCTGGCCAGTACAATTTCTTCCAGAACCTGGAGCTCATAAAACCTGTAAGAGAGTCTGCTATGCACTGGGAGTCTTATCCTGCACCCTGCACAGTCACAGACTCTGCAGTTCTGTACTGTATAAAGAGAGCTGTATAACGTCCATCTCAGGTGGTGTGTGGAAAGTACAAGCTGTTTCCCTGCCAATCCCTCTTAAAGTGCCATTAAGATAAGTACATTTCCAGATCGCAATTATCACTGCATGGCATTTATAACCCTGAAATTACTTGGCCGTAACCACATTGAAATCAGGGGCTCTGGCTATAGGAATGAGTACAATACAGTAGTTCTCAAGGGTGTTAAAAATTACACTCATGTATTTTTTCTCAATGTGCTAAAGTGAAAGGTGGTGGGAGGGGCATGAAAGGAGCTTTATTTTTCAGAGAAACCGCAAACAGGCAATTTTGTCAATGGGCGGCACATTTTAAAGACACTTATTAAACAGAAATCCGAGTACTAAGGGGTAAACTGTGTATTCTGTGCAACGCAAATAACGGCTTCAGTTCTGAATGAAACAATACAATTTTCTCTACACTGGTTAAAACACTGATTTATCAAAATGTTCAACCATCCATAGCTAAGTGCCGTTACCATGGCTAGTAATGTCCTTAAAAAGAACCCAAGCTCTCGTTCAATTGCCAGTAGACCCAGAAGATGTCTCACTATGCTTGCATGCATCATATAAGATTTGCGCTTGTTTTTCCTAACTGTGATTCAGTCGAAGGGATTGAACAGTGATGTTTGATGCTGCTTGTCAGCATTGCGTATTAAACAGGAGCACATTCATAAAATTCACTACAACGTACGAGTCAGCCCGTGCTCTCGCTGTAAAACATACTTTGCAATAAACAGCAAAGACAGTGATATTCAGCGCCAGTGAGAAACTGAGAGTACTGACTTTGCTGGCCAGATCCAGAATGAAAATGTCATTGATTTCATGGGATTGCATCATTTTTTCAAACAATATTACTTGGCATGAGAAATTCCCCCATCTTGATATTTATTATTATCATTATTTATCCTCAGTATTTTTCATTGTTGATTTCATTCTTTCATCCTTTCCTTAACAGCAGTGTTGAAGCAAACACCATCACATGCTGGAACATTAACAAAATCGAATATTGCTAATTAACCCAGGGTTAATTGGGCTCAAAAAAGAGATGATTGATTCAAACTATGCTAGATTTCCCCGATGTTAAGGCTGGATTCAAAATGCCCAGCGTGGATTTTTAGTTCCAGGCTAATCTGGTATGAAGGTGTATCACGCATGCCACAGGCTTCGCCAATACCATGTAAGTAAATCTTTTAAATGTACAGCACCACCTAGGGACTGTGATATCTCTGGATCCAGCTGCAGGAAACTTCAGCCATTAATCTATTCCTTTTCATCGCTGGGGAGTATCGAGAGCACTGCACTGAACAGAAAACCTTTTTTCTTCTGTAAGGTTTGTCTACTGTCCTGCCCCTAGTTTGAACCCCTCTGAGAAAGTGGAATAAAGTGCAAATTAATGCTACAGTAGTGTAAATTGGCACAATGTATTTCCACAGCTAGCCTGAGTTAATGTGGATTTTGTGTTAATGTGTTTTTTTACTTTTTCTAGCGCGGTCTCTGTGGCAGCAATCGGTTAGCGCGTTCGGCTGTTAACCGAAAGGTTGGGGTGGTTTGAGCCCACCCAGAGTTG